TAAGCTAGTTCTGTTATACAAAGTGACCAACTAATTTTATTACACAAATATAAGCTCTACACTATTATTTTCTTAACATAAAATGCTTATATCCTATCTAAACTATAATCTCTATTAATATAGATGTTTATCCTATCTAAGTACAAACTAACTATAATATTTATTCCATTAATATAAATGTTTTTGTCTTATTTACATACATACATACATAAACACTCACGCCTGTCACCCAGAGGGGTAGGCAGAGACTACGGACTTCCATTTGGCGCGATCCTGACACACCTCTCTCGCCTCTTTCACATCCATATATCTACGCATACACGCTCGTCGGTTAAGGGTACTCCTAATCTGGCCCATTTTCAATGTATCGCCGATCTGGTCGATAAACCTTCGTCTAGGGCGTCCCTTCCCGACCCTGCCGTTCACTTATATGCCGTTTGTCTTATTTATGTATCACTATTTGTTTTTCTCTTGTCCCGCACATTACTTAATGATATTATTCTTTTTGTTACGTTTTATGTTTCTTGTTTTGTTTTTATAATGTCTAACGCATACGTTTATAGTGCTCTTGAATACGGCAACACGTTAATGTGCCTTGTAGTAGCTCGCGGGTTTGCTTCGCATGCATTGCGAATTTACCGAGAGAAATTCCCGACCGCTCGACATCCAGCTGACTCTCGTCTGATAACAGCAGCATTTCAACGAGTATTGGAAAATCGGCCCACTGCTCTGGTAGCGGCAGGAGGTGGAAGTCAAGTGGCTGTTCACTCACGAAATTTTAGATGTCGTTCGCCGGAATCCGAACCTAGGTACACGAAGTATCGCTAAATTGTTAAGGCGTAGGGATGGAACAAGTGTGTCATACTGTACAGTTCACAAAGTGTTAAAGCGTAACCAAATGCGCCCATATAAAGTGTACAAAGTGCAAGCTTTAGTTCCGGATGATCACGACCGCCGGCGAGTTTTCTGCCGTTGGTTATTAGACCAGCAACAACGTGTGCCTGGTTGCATTGAACACGTCACCGCGGAGGATTTAGAGCGGTAAGCTGTTTCATACCTATTTTTTTAAGTAACTTAGTACTGAACTGATCTGAATAGGTACATAACTGAATACATGAGAATAATAAACATAACTACACGATGAATAAAAACGTATGACTCTAACCTTGGTTACATTTCATTTAAGTATTTTTTTCATTAGCGGGGAATCGAACCAGTTATTTGGGTTATTTTACCTGTGAATTCGAATTAAAGTGGCTACGTGGAGACAAGCACTGTGGCAAAATAGTAAGTTAAGTAGATAAGTTAGGTATTTAGACGTTAGGGTTGTAAATTACTAGGTATTGCGGTATAGCCCGCTAGCTGCGGGCTGCGCGAACTCGGCGTTCGCGTGTACTTTGACCCCTAGTCAGCTGATTCTAATTCAGTAATTCCACTGCTGGTTTTATGTTTAAGTGTTTTCATGATGTTTTTTATGAAATTATCGTTTCATTTAGCTGTAATAAAGTGATAGCGAATGAATAAAGCTAACAAAACGTTGTGAAAAGATGTTTTTTTTTTCATCAGGATCGATTTTATATTTTACCCATCATCACAGGTATAGTTGGTACTGTCGTCTGTCTTCGTTTTCGGGAGCGTTTCAAAAATACCCTGTATACATATACATAGATTATAGACTTCTCTGTGGTATTTAGCCACTAGGACAGAATATACTGGCCAAAAAGTATAGTAACTAGTATATACCGACATAGTGTACAATCACAAACTAATAAGAAGAGTGCTAAAGGTGTGCAATGGAGAAGAAAATTTCTTATGGAAAAAATGCAAGTAAACAAGGTACCAAATCTCATGACTCTGTAACCGATCAAAGAGAATATAATCACTACGTTTATAACCAATTTTGAATGACAGGTCGGCACAAGCCGGCACCACAGACTACTAACGATATTACTTACTTACGATATTAGATACTACGCATGTCGGCAAGCAAGAAATAAGGTCCTAGATTTTTGTAATTGTTTAGAGTGTAATAGTGGTTACTTTTAGTAAGTAACTTTTTTCCAAAAGTCACTCACAGAACAAGTAACCAACTTGTTCTGCGAGTGACTGTGGTGTTAATAATAGAAATAATGCTGATAATTGCACATTTCACTAAGTATCTATTTATCGACCAAAAAAATGTATAAACCTAATAAGTACACCATCCGCACCTCATGGTCACACTAGTGCAATATTCATAGCATCACGCTATTTTCCCCCAAGGGGTTACGCGGAGCTTTTGATTATATTTCCAAGTCACAAGAGAAAACTTTTAGCGTAGTTAGATATAATATATTTAGTAATGCTCTTGAAGCACCACTAAACGCCCGTGCCTGATACGCGCGGTTCAATGTGCTAGTATAGTTTAAATTCCATAGTATTTGATACTCACAACGCTCGATGCCCGATTCATGCTTGATGGTCGACGACATTGTGCCAAGGGCTTAAATAGTGTGGTTCATCGCCTACGGCGTAAGTCGTAGAGAAGAGGAACTCGTGGTTAAGTAATAGCTGCGCGGATCAATAGATCTGCGAGATTAAGTTGCACTTGCTGCGGTTAGTCCATAAATGAATGACCATTTTCTTAACATACCGAGATTGAGAGAATAACCTGTACCCTCAGACACTTGGTGCACTTTACTCTGTTAAGATCAATATGTTTTCAAAATTCATGTAGCTATAATGATAATAAGTTTATTATTACATTATAGTTTTCAGAGACAGATGAAAAAATATAAACATAAAGCGTGATGAAGCCTCATAAACATATTGGCCTTTTTTTTCTTTTTTTTTTTATAGGATAGGGTGAAAAACGAGCACACAATCCACCTGATGGTAAGTGGTTGCTGCGGCCTATAGACATCTACATATATCCTCACTTGCGAATCAAAATGCAGATGCGTTGTCACCCGTGAGGATTAAGATGGAATGCCTCTTTTCCAGTAAAAAGGGTCTCCGGTTCTCTACACTCACCATACGAAACACATCAGTGTTAAGCTGCTATTTCACGCTGGTATTCTGTGAGAGCGTGGTCCTACCCCGGTCGAGCCGACCCATTCGTGCTACAACTATACTATTAATATAGCTGCAGCATGGCTCTACCACGTAAAAACAGCCTCTTCCTTTAAACAGCTCTGCCTTTAAACAGCACAATCTTACTTAACTGATTCCTACAAGTTTCCTTACTTCAATTATTAAGTTTACATTCATAAAGTGAAATGTTAATAGAAACTTCTATAATGTAGTTAATTATCAAATGTTTACAATTATCAAAAGTAACACTTATATGAAAAATAAAGCAACCATTATGTAACCCGTGTCCCGTTTTTTATTTATACCGGGTGTTTGTGAAACGCTCCCGAAAACAAAGACAGACGATAGTACTAACTATACTTTTGATCGTGGGTGAGAAATAAAATCGATCCTGAGGAAAATAGTCATCTTTTCACAACGTTTTATTAGCTTTATTCACGTCCCATCATGTTGGTACAGATAAATAAAATTATAATTTCATTTAAAAAAATCATGAAAATACTTAAACTTAAAAACTTAAAAATAAATCATAAAATCAGCTGAAAATAGGGTCAATATTCTCGGGGACGCCGAACTCTTATGTATCTAGCTCTGTGCGAAACAATGCCTACTCACTCTACCTTTCCCTTTCACAGACGCGCTACCGCCCCCGGCCGGCTTGTGTCGCCTCGCGCTGTGGGATTTACATATGACAGCTTTGCCAACAGATGGGGAATTCCCAAAATTGCTGGGAATTTAAAGTTGGTTGGGGATTTTATTCATTTTATTTTACAGGAAAATAAAAGTAAGAATAAAATAAAATCCCCGATTTTGAAAAGCGATAGGCCAAGTCAGAACATTTTTTCAAGAAATCTAAATACTTATCTTAACATTTTGTTAGGTTACTTATGAATATCGAATGACTCCCTTTTTTAATTATCTTCATTGCACCACATTTAATTTTCGGATTTATTTCGGCAACTTTTGTGTATCATGTAAAACTTTCATTTCTTTATTTTTTTAATTTTAAAGAAAAGAATGTTAGTTAAAAAGTAAATCTTATAAAATTAGAAGAAAATTGATTAATTTGTTAAAATAAAATTGAGGGAATTTGTGGGGAATCCGTTGAAGTATTGTCCTTAAATTGGGGAATTTGACATGACTTTTCGGGGAATTTGACAAATTGGTGTAGACAACACTGCCATGTTGCACCGAAATTTATTTTGTCGGTGACATTAAGCCCGGTACACATGCAGCGACTTTAATCGACGGTGACTCGCTAGCGACTTATGACTTTTGTGTCTATATTATAGCGATTTATCAGTATTCGTTTCGCAGTAGAAGGCAGTAGACGCAAAGAGTATAATAATATATAGGGGAAAGTAGATGTGTATACCGGTGTCTGTTATTCACCTTTTTTATTTGTGAACGTTTCTTTGTAATGTCCGAAGAAAGGCGTCGAATGTTACTAGCGCTAGCAGCCGTTTGCATATATGACAAAGAGAGAGAAAAGAAAAATAGAAGATGTTGGGCGAAAAAATGATTACTTCAAAGACCAAGATATTCGCATATAAATTTAATGGCCGAGCTAGCAGTACAAGAACCGAACGATTTTAGAAACTATTTACGAATGGACTCTTGTACATATCAACAGTTGTTGTCTCTGTTGGAGCCAATGCTAACAAAACAAGATACGTGCATGAGAAAAGCGATAACAGCTCACGAACGATTATCAGCTACATTGCGATTTCTAGCAACCGGACGATCTTATGAGGATTTACAATACAGCGTTGCAATATCTAAGCAATCTCTAAGCAAGATAATTCCAGAAACATGTGATGCGATCATAGCTACATTGCAAGAAGAATATTTAAAGGTAGGTTTAAAGGTGCTTTTTAGTAAAACTAAACTTTTCTGTTACGTATTTACTATATGCTAACAGTTATACATTATGGTTGAAAATTATTAAAATACATCGTAAGATTTTGAGATGTTTTAGAATTGAGCAATCGGGTTTCTGCAATTTCTAGTGACTGATTGTTCGTCTCCTGAGGAACATGAATTAATTGACCACTCACAGGATCTATCAAAAGGCTTTGTGAAAAAGTATCATCAGTAGTAGCATTTGAATTATGAGCACTTTGAACATTTTCATTTTTAGAAAGCAATTGTATATTAACATTATGATTTACATCAATACGACTTTGACGAGAGAGGGAATTCATTCGTGCTTCAAACAAAACGTCGTTAATTAATTTCTCCGCATAAATTTGTTGATCATTTGGAAAACTCTTTAAAATACCAGCCCATGATTTTGCTGTATGTTCCCAGCGGTCTGTCGGAATAGGTTCGCTGAGATGAGCATTGATTTTACTAAGAATATCTTCTCTTGGTCTCTTCTTTTTTTTATTACTATCACGAGATGCCGTAGTAGACACTGTTGAGGGTGCTGGTGATTGCGTTGACTCCGAAAATATATCAGAATCTACATCTTCATTTCTATTTATTCCTAATTCCTCATCGACAGGTCCCTGAAATAAAATATAAATATAAATACCTATTTTTGTTCTAGTTTCCTGAAACTGAAGAAGAATGGTTAGACATAGCAAAAACATTTGAAGAAAGGTGGCAGTTTCCTCATTGCTTAGGAGCTATAGACGGGAAACATGTAAAAATTGTGCCCCCAGCAAATAGTGGATCATACTACTTTAACTATAAAAAGGATTTCAGCGTTGTTTTATTAGCAATCATCATCATCATCATTACAGCCCTTCACAAGTCCACTGCTGAACATAGGCCTCCCCCAAAGAATGCCACAAAGCACGGTCCTGAGCCACCTGCATCCATCGACTTCCTGCAAATCTTACCAGGTCGTCACTCCATCTAGTGGGGGGACGCCCTACACTTCGCCTGCCGGTACGAGGCTGCCACTCGAGAACCTTTCTTCCCCATCGGTTGTCGGTTCTTCGAGCTATATGGCCGGCCCATTGCCACTTCAGCTTACTAATCCGTTGGGCTATGTCGGTCACTCTGGTTCTACTGCGGATATCCTCATTTCTGAGTTTATCACGCAGAGAAACTCCGAGCATAGCCCTCTCCATAGCTCGCTGAGCGACCTTGAGCTTCCTCATCCGGCCAGCAGTGAAGGACCACGTCTCAGTTCCGTATGTCATCACTGGCAACACGCACTGGGTGTACAGTCTCGTTTACAAGTTTTGAGGTATACCTGACGAGAAGATGTGCCGTAATTTCCCGAACGCTGCCCAACCGAGTTGAATCCGTCGGTTGACCTCTCGGTCGAAGTTGGACTTACCTAGTCGGACTATTTGTCCCAGGTAAACATACTCGTCAACAACTTCGAGCTTAGTGTTCCCAACAACTACCGGCATAGGTGTGACATGGACATTAAACATGATCTTTGTTTTGTCCATGTTCATCTTAAGACCTATCCGTTGGGAAACACTATTGAGGTCATTGAGCATAGTGCTTAAGTCCTCCAGCGATTCTGCCATAAGGACTATATCGTCGGCAAATCGAAGGTGAGTGATGTACTCGCCATTGATGTTGATACCGTATCCTTTCCAGTCCAGAAGCTTGAAAACATCTTCCAATGCAGCGGTGAAGAGTTTCGGGGATATGACGTCACCCTGTCTTACACCTCTCTGCAATTGGATAGGTTTCGTACTCTGGTTCTGTACTCGGATAGCCATCGTAGCCCTACTGTACAAGCACTTCAACACTTCGATATACCGACAGCCAACTTGGCATCGCTGAAGGGACTGCAGCACCGCCCAAATTTCGACGGAATCAAAGGCTTTCTCATAGTCCACATACGCCAGACATAGTGGCAAATTGTACTCCTCGGACTTCTGTACAATTTGCCGAAGGGTATGTATGTGGTCTATGGTGCTAAAGCCTTTTCGGAAACCGGCTTGTTCGGGAGGCTGGAAGTCGTCAAGTCTGCGCGCGAGACGATTCGTAATGACTCTCGAAAACAGCACGTAGACGCGGCTCAGAAGGGAAATCGGTCTGTAGTTCTTCAAGAGAGCGTTGTCGCCTTTCTTGAAGAACAAGACCACCGCACTTCTGCTCCACGCCTCCGGTGTAATGCCACCATGGAGGACGGAATTAAAGAGCTTCTGAGGACTTCAAGTACCGGTTTTCCACCCGCTTTCAGAAGCTCCGCTGTAATTCCATCCTGGCCTGGGGCCTTGCCGTTTTTAAGGTGCTGGAGAGCCATTCTAATCTCGCTCAGACTGACGTCCGGGATATCATCGGAATAATGTCGGATAAGACTCGCTCTTGGATCGTTACTCACACTTGCGTGTGGCTCCAACGATGACGTGTACAGCTGCCCATAGAACCTCTCAATCTCAACCAAAATCTCAGGTTTATTAGCAATAGCAAATGCAAATTACGAATATATAATGGTAGATACAGGAATTAATGGCCGAATATCTGATGGTGGAGTTATTAATAGAAGTATATTTTATGAGAAGCTAAACACAGGATCTTTAAATATTCCTAGGGTAGCAAGGATAATGAATAGTGAAACTGTTTTGCCATACGTCTTCGTGGGGGATGATGCATTTTCTTTACGCCCAGATTTGATGAAACCTTATCCAGGTCCATACTTAAGTCCTCAACAAAGAATATTCAATTATAGACTATCAAGAGCCCGTCGCATTATTGAAAACGTTTTTGGTATTTTAGTCAATCGATTCCGAATATTCAAAACTTCAATCAATTTAGATGTGAAAACCATTGACAAAATAGTAATGGCAGCATGTATATTGCATAACTTTTTACGTCGAAATAGTAATCAATATATCCGAGTGGGTGTGGATATTGAAAATTTAGAAGATGGCAACATAAGCACAGGTTACAGAGCCAACAACGAATTGTTAGATTTACAAATAACGAATCAAGGTCAAAGTCAAACCATGGCTAGATATGTTCGAGATCAATATATGCAATATTTCAATAATGAGGGTAGTGTTTTGTGACAAAACCGTTTCACTAATTTAAATACCTTTACATAATGTTATTTGATAACAATATGAATAAACAAATATAGTATACGAGTCCTAAAGCATAAATTGTATTTTTATTTCGCATCTTACCCGATCTTTGTTTCCTATTTTAATGTTAGTTATTGAACTTCTAGTCGTCTCTTGATCTTTCAAGAAGTTGAGTAAATCATAATACCATAATGATGGAGTAGGAATATCTTCCACAGCCATTCCGGATTTCAAGCTTTTTTCAATCTTTTCGTGTTGTCTTCGCCAAACATCCCTCATATTTTTAATTTTTTTTATCACAAAATCTCGATCAGCGTTTGGCTCCACCTCCTTAAATTTTCACACTAATATCTCATAGCTTTGTGACTTTAAATCTCTGTTTGAGTAATCTTTACTCTTAACCATCCATAATGAAGGTAATTCCCGGTATAATTCTATAAATTCAGTTACAAAAGCCCGAGAATATTTACGTAGGTCCTCCATTTTAAAATCGCTCACGCACGGCGTACACGTCCACACAGCAACGATGTCGCTGGCGACTGTTTGGCGACTGTCGACTTTTCAGATTTACAGCGATTCGATCGCCGCATTGACAGCGACTATAAATCGCTCCTAATATTCACGTCCACACACAGATTTTGACATCGCCAGCGAGTCGCTATCGATTAAAGTCGCTGCCGTGTGGACCCTTCTTAAGAGTTAGAGGCGGCAATCACTATAAAACTTGCAAGTAATTTTTAATAATTATGAAGTACCTCTTTTTAAATGCAAGGTATTGGTCGGATTCAATACGGAAAGTCAATTATACTCAACCAAATCTAAGAAATACGTTTTGACAGCTGTCAGACTTATTGGACTAGGCATGCTAACCAAAAAATCGGTACGTACAATATTCGATTATGTCGAAAAATCGATATCAATCCTTTATAGTTGGTAATCATTTACAATTTTGTTTGGATTAATACCAGAATAAATTAGAAACGGATAATTTAAAACACAAGAATTATTAGTTTCTTCGTATTTAATATTACTGCTTATATCTAGAGACAAAATTGTATAAATTTGAAATTAGATTAAAAATAAATACATTCAGTCACTTTCACTACAACTAGTTGAGCTGTCGTTATTTAGATTAATTATTATTGGATTTTCAATAATGTGTCAAAATTAATGTTCTTTCAAAGTCATCCATAATTTTTTTCTCCACCACTTTTGCCCAATTGTTCTTTGTGACGTGGGTATTCATTCTGCAAATCTTCCATTTTCTTTACAAAGCATAAGATATTTCCATTTCATGTGTGTTTAAGTATAGTTAATAATATGTTTGCATTAAGAGCATTTCATATAAGAAATAACCTTTGATTTGGGCCAAAATCAATTCAATTGCATTATAATGGCAGTGCTATGGTGGTAGTCTTGTGATATTCGCAGGAATACTTTGTAAAAGGATTGTAAACCACTCTTTTCTACCGACTTCAAAAAAGAGATGGTACTCAATTCGACTGTATGTTATTTTTTTCTTTTGGAACGAAGTTCCTTATCGGACGGTCCGCATTTAGGCTAGGCAAGAAAAAGTGTAAGATTTTTCAGTCGCGACCCCTTATGACGTAGTGTAGACCCCTTCTTCTTCGTTTTCACGCTTTTTCTTATCTTGTCATGAAAGAAATATTATTGTATAATAAATGACGCTTCATTTTAATAGATGCTAGTAATTCACTTATTTGTATTTGTTAATCAATAATATAATACGTTTATAAATAATAAAATACTACGAAAAGAACTTCGTTCCAACCGAGTGTTCCACAACACTCATGCATGTTTTTTTATGTGTGTTACATCATAACTTTTATCTGGGTAAACCGATTTCGATGATTCTTTTTTATTTGAAAGCTGGTGTTTCTCATGTAGTCCCATATAAATTTGATCAAGGTCTAATTAATATAATTTGACGGCTCCGTGGCGCAGTGGCTTAGCAATGAGTTATTGCGCTGGGGGCCGCGGGTTCGAATCCCGCACGGAACAAGTATTTGTATGGCCTACAAATAATTGTTCCCGGTCTGGATGTTTGTCCTCGTGATATTTATGTTTGTAAACAGTTGTGGTAGCGTTTTTTAAGCGTACAACAGTAATAGTTTTTGAGTTTTTCTTAATAATTTAAGAATTTGAAGTCGGTTGTACAACATTTTTAATTTTTAATTATAATTATTGTGCATCAATTTCCTCGTCGTAATCTCTTGTACTCTTCGATTGGAAAGCTAATAAACAATTTTCTACAAATCTTCCTCCAGTGGATATCGCATCACCTTTTCCCATGGGTATCTTCGAGCAAAATGCTGCAGTGTCATGGTTTCTACAACGAATATGACGTTGTCCCAATAAAAAAATGTTATATTATTAATGAGGCTATGTCATGCCTCTCCATAATTATTTTGCGTTTATCATTTTTTTTATATCGGAAGCGCATGCGTTTTAAAATGGTTCTCAAAGACTACCATTGTATAAACCGCCATCTACTAAACTTTCTTGCAACTAAACCGCAGTAGGATATTCTTATTTAGATAATATCATAAATAGTAATATGAGATATTATTGTTTATCATATTCCTCTGTATATAACTTGTCAAGATCAACTAATATAATAGAATCAGTCCAAAAAGTTATAACCGAGCCAAAAATAAGGTAAACACAAAATCACAAAAGTACGTACAGTAAGCTCCCAAAATGGCGGGAGATTGGAACTACGTAGCGTTTTTTTCAGGGCGGCTTTGCATATAAATTTCTTTGCCTACACAAGTTTACACTGACAAAGTAGGAAGTTATAAAATAGATAAACTTGTTTAATTCGTAATTCATATAATTTAAGCAATTCTAAAAATAAAATTTAAATAAACAAATAATAAATAAAATCATTTCAAGACTCGATTAATGAATTTTAATTATTCAAACACTACGGTAAGGTACATAGCGACATATCATTGGAACAACGTCAGGCAAAAAGACTCTGGTAATTTTTTTTATATTTTGCTTTTTCTGAAAGATTCGAACTTGAATTAGTGGTAAAGAACTATATATTTTTTTTTGGAGTTTATGGCCTGGTATCTAGACCTTTAGGCCAAGTCTTAAGTATTTTTATTCGGTTTATTGTAATTTCCCCACTTCTTCATAGTATACTGCTTCACAATATGTTGATGCGTCACATTGTGCAGTTCTTGGGAGATTTTGGCGGCAACTTGATCCAGCAGACAGCTGATAGTTGGCGATGGTATCTAAAGGTGCCTATGCAAACAAACAGCTTATCTTGAGAATCCATCACCATCAGAGCACTTGTTTCACTGTTTCCACTAATAGTGCACATGCGTAGACACTTAATACACAAAATCGCAACACTTTTACATATCAAAGTCCACTTCAAACCATTATTTAAACAATAATACAGGAGCAGCAAACCGCCGCCGGTCAATTTCCCGCCAAAACTCCTAAAGAACTATATATGTTGTAATAAAATATAGATAACTACATAATTGTTTGGATTTACGTAAAAGGTTATTTTAAATCTTGTGAGTACTCTTGTACAAAGTTATTGCGGAATGATTAATGTGAAACGTCAAAACATATTTCTTAGATTTGGTTGAGTATAAAATAAAGTAAAAGTATTATTTTTTACATTAATTTTGATAGATTAATTAATTGTTGATCATAATTGTAATTGATTTTAACTATTAAATTATTCAGTACTATTTTATTTCAATTTTCTTATACAAAATCAAAGATAACGATGAAATAGTGTTTATAATTGTGTAAGTGAGTACTGAGTACCCAATTAGGTACGTTTATTAATTTTAAACTCAAACTCAAACTTTTATTGCTAAACCATAATGTACACAAGATGTTATAAAATAATGTGAGACCAGTGTTATGAACCCTGTTGGGCACGCAATTTAGGGGCTAGGAGAGAGGAAGCCTTTTTTTTTTACATGGGGAAATGCCTACGCATACCCGCCTCGCGGGGGCAAGTGCGGGTTATGTCGGACTCGCACTGACTAAAACCCCATGGTGTTCCACCCTCGTCGCATATTGGCAGGGCCACGGGAACGCTTTCGCACACTTCCGCGGTCCCACCTCCGCTGGCCACTCCATGACGGCCCCTCCTCGGGAGAGGACTACTCCTCCCCCATCTCCTTCTCAGGTAAGGCGCACCAGAACACATGGCGCGCCCTCCTTCTCGGCCTCCAATTTCCAATGCGCAACAGACGCCCCTGAGTCCGATGCGCGAAGGCCATGGGGCCAGGAAAAACTAGCACTCAGAAGCACCGCCCTTCCTGGCCCCAGCGGCGGATCTGGTCTATGGGTCCGCCGCCAACCAAGATTCGGCTGCGGAGGGTAGGGAGAGCGGCGTCTCGCAATACCGACACTCCTCTCCCCCCGCAGCCCCACCACCACCGCATCATTAACGGTGCGGCCCCGTCAGAGTCGCGGAGGATAGGTCATCAGTGGTGGTGGTCAGGAGTGGTGCATCGCCATACCAACACTCCTCTTCCTCCACGACTCCACCTCGGCTGCAGCGGTAGAGGGTGCTGACTCCCCTCTCACCGCAGCCCCCCGACAAACATCCAAAGTGGGCTCGCCAAGCCCACTCGGAGTGGCCACCTCGGACCGGCCCTACACCACGGGCCAGCCAAGAGGTTCCTCTTTGTTAACCGTGGGTGACCAAGCCACGGCTACTAAGCCCCCCCGCCACGACAAGGCGGGAACCCGTTCGGGGGGGAGGAGAGAGGAAGCCTATTAAACTACTTATAAGAAAGTCATTGTGATTTATTGAGATAGAATTCAATTTAAATTAGTGATAATTTTGTAAAACCTATATAAGTATTACATATTTGTAAAATATTCATTAGTATTATATTAACATTTATTAGTTAGGTACTGTTTTAATTTTTTTGTAAATATGATGTCATTATTTTCATTTTTTAATATGTCAGGTAGTTTATTATATAATTTTATGGAAGAACTTAATGTGCTAGAACTGTTTAGTTTTAATCGGGAAGTTGGCAATACTAATTTATTTTTGTGTCGTAACGTGTATTTGCATGGTAAATCTTCACGTTTTGTATAAAATTGCTTATTTTTTCGAACAAATTTACACATCTCCAATATATATAAGCTGCGTAAAGTTAATATTTTATATTTAAAAAAGAACGGTCTGCAACTATCAGTCTGATCTATATTTGCTATAATCCGGATTAATTTCTTTTGGAGGGTGAATAGAGAGGCTGCATCCG